CTCGTCCTCTCGCTCCTCCTCCTCCTCCTCCTCCTCCTCCTCCTCTCCTCCCCCCCCCCCCTCCGCTCACCAGCTGTAGTGCAGAGCTGTGTTCCCCTGTTCGTTCTGATAGTCGACAGGAACGCTCCCGTTGTCAATGAAGATGCACATGTCTTCGCATTCCTGAGTCCCTGTCTCAGAACAAAGAATAGCAAATACCATTACCTCCTCTCCCCTCCCCTGCTTCTCTTACCCCATATCGGGCGCATGCCAACATCTCATTGCCGGCCTCCTCATCCGCGCATGTTACTCTCTGTCGATGTAACATGATCGTCATTGCCATCACCATCACCGGCATGGGAGTCGTCACGACCACCATACTCCCCCTTCCTCCCTCCTCCTCCTCCTTCCTCCTCCTCCTCTTCACTCCTCCTCCTCCTCCCTCCTCCTTCTCCCTCTCCCTCCTCCTCCTCCCTCCCTCTCCCTCCTCGTCCTCGTCCTCCTTCACCTCTCACCTCACTCATAACGGGAAGGGTCTTGGGCGCAAGGGTTTGCAACGATGGAGTTGTGACTACAACCTTCTTCATCTTCCACAACCCTGACAAAGTGATCTTCTCATATCCTGTACTCCGCCTCCCTCCTCAACGACTCCTCTCTCCCTCCCCTCTCTCCCTCCCTCCCCTTTCCTGCCAACCTCCTCCCTGCCCCCTCTTCTCCATTCTCTCCCCTCCTCGCCCCCCCCTCCCCCCCGCTCCCCCTCTTCCCCTCATCGTCTCCTGTCCCAAGTTCTTGATCTGCACTTGCACCCGCCCTCTCGCTCTCGCCTCCGCTCCATGCCTAGCGCACCTGAGCCTTGCTTCTTGAAGAGAATCTGAACCACCAGCGGGTCTCCCAGGTTGCCTGCCTTCACCCACACCTTCTCCTCTGCTGCCCCGCTCGCCGCGATGCTGCGAGGACAACAGCAGCATCAATTTCTAATGGACGAGGTAGAGAACAAGAAGGTGGAGCACTGTGGGAACAGGAGAAGCAAGAGCAGGGGCAAAAGGATGGGGAGGAGCAGGAGAAGAGCAAGCAACACATCCATCCCCACGATCGAGTCCTCAACTTCATCTCGCAGCCATCATCGGATCAGAGCAACCTCTTGATAGTTATCGTGTGCCCTTCACTCGATCTCGCGAGGATCTTGGTATCGGCAGCAAGGTCAGGCACCCCTTGCCTGCGGGCAGATGCCGGGTTAAACGTGTGGAGGCAGGACGGGCGAGCATACTGCAGTTTGAACTCTTGCTGCTTCCCTGGCGAGCCATTCGCATAACCTGCACGACGGGTAAGTTCAGTCTGACCCTTGGGAGGCGGGAAGAAGAGAACAGACACGCGTCCTGTCCCTACCTTCCCAGATCGTCTTCTTCGTTCGTGGGTCGCTGGCCACAAAAGCGATCGTTACGGACATCCTGACAGATATCATCAGCATGTAATGAGGAGGCGACACGCAAGACGAGCACATCTCCCCTTCTCGAGCACAACATGGAACGGCGACCCTCTCCGATCCTTCCCACCCGATCCCCGTGTTGCTCCCGACCCCCGATGGCAGCAGCACGGGGATCGCCAGGACGCCATTTCTCCAGCAAGAGCGAGGCAAGCAGCAACATCATCTCAAGTCTCAGGTGCATAGCAGGCAGCAGAGGGCTTCTATCCTCCCTCCTCTCGTCTCTCACCTCCTCTGCCTCCCCACGCTCGTCACGCGCTGCCCGCCATCCCGCACATGCGAGGGTTGATGAAAAGTATCGGGCCCACCTCAGCACGAGATCTCCAGGCCCGCCCCGCGTTGAGATTGTATAATTTATTGTAAAATTGTACCAGTGGGTACTGTACAGCAGCAGTATCGAGAATGTTTGTACTCAATTACCTTTTTGTATATATCTATATAAATTTAGATACAGATTTAAAACCTTTTTATGTTTGGAAACGGAGGCTGGAGGTTGTCCGTTGGCCCTGACGAAGAGGCGGGGGTTCAGGGATAACCCCCACCCCCCTTATCATCATTTCAAACATCTCAGAAGTACCCCTTCTTTATCTGAGCTCTTTACTACACCTTCCGCCTAAGTGAAGGGGGGTAAACGACTCAAGAACCATGGGTGGGGTAGTGAATTTTGAGCTCGGGTTCGCTGAACCTCGAACATATGTACCGGGTTATTTGCGTTGCTGAAAGCTGTCAACTGGGAGGTAGAGGTACTCAAAGCAATTTCATTGGATGGTAGGGTCATCAGCATCATGAGTTGTAGAGGGGTTATAGGGTCCCCCATCGGAAGTTTACTTCATTAGGACTGATCGATAAAATATGAATTAAAATATACAATGATCATATATTTCACCGAGGCGGACTTGTTGAGGCTAAATAAAATATGTGGGATGTATAGGATACTGTTTTATTTATTAATTCCTGCCCCATTCTGGGCTCTCAGAGATACCTTTCTGGTACCAATGGTTGTTTTAAGAACTGTACCAGATTTATAAGCCATGGAGGACAATTGGTATCAATTAACAATATATTTTATCTTTTCTTCAGGACGACTAATATCTGGCTAAATCGTACGGAACATTTTGCATCAACAAAACTTATATTGTAGAAACTTTCAAAAACGTTTCTGAAACTTTGAAATTGTAGCAAGTTTGGAAATAGAACATATATTCAAGAACATATTTAATGCATCAGTTGGTACTAGTATTACTATGTGGTACAATTTTAAAACTTACGGAGGGTTTAGACCCTCCGCCCCTGAGAAAATGGCAGGAGCCGCATGGCGGTACTCCTATGTTATCGCGCAATGCAGGCAGGAGAAGCCATGTCTCAGGCGATTCTTTCAAACATCAACTATATGAAACACCACTTGCTTTTCCTTTGCAAACTAACCTTGCTTATGAATCCCTGTTTCTTCACTCCTGTCCTTGATAGCCCGTTTCCCAGCAGACCCCATGTTTGAAGTAGCCAAAGCGAGTTTTCATCTTCACCTTAAGGCAGCTTAGCACGGCACATATGATCTAGGCTTGCAGCACCTTTCACACTCCAATGCCTGCTTCGATTCTCATTTCTTGAGGCTCAGTTCACACGATTGCTGAGCGAATATTTGTCTCTTCATGTGCAAGGTTTCCCCTTTAGGCTCCCTCTTTCACGTTTTCCTCTGTCTTGATACTTGCATCTTGAACATCTCCTCCTTGAACTTCAATATCGGAACTCGCTATTGCTGACAGAAGATTCATTTCAATCACAGCTAGCCTAGTATAGTGAGAGGCTATCCTTTCGGTTTTGGTCTCAAAAGTTCAGGTCAGGATTCTCCAGCAATGCCTCGATAGGGAACCTTGAAGATGCGACGATGGTCAGTTCAGTTTATCAGTTGGAAGCTATCTTTGCTCTTGTAGAAGGGGTTAGGAACTTCACTCTCCTCCTTAGACCAACGACCCTTCTGCTGCTGCATGTATTTCTGCTCTGATTCGTTCTGTAGCTCAGCGGAAGCAGTCCGAGGGCTCTACGTGGCCTGTTGTCACGCTTCGATCTAGCAATGTGTCAGCCCTCCGATGAGTCAGGAGCTGTTGCAACCCAAAGTCAAGAAAAACAGAACCAACAATCCTCCGGCAACCCCCCCGAGGAAATGCATGTCAAGTTGAATGAGGATGGAAATTTCTTGTCTTTTGCACCAAGACCGTCTCTGTTCTCAAGTGAGCATCCTTCCAACAGCTATCGTGGTTTCGTGAATGTCCTCATTATCCTCCTTCTGATGTCAAACTTGCGCATTGTCATCCAAAACTTGTACAAGTACGGGCTCTTGATCAACCCCTGGCACATTACTCACCTTGGCAAGAGCGACAACGTCTGTCTAGCTTTCTCACTTTGGTTCTACGTCTTTGTTGCCTATGGCATCGAGAAGCTGCATGGTTACGTGTACAGTCCCATCATCAAGGCACTTCATTGGACAAACGCCATCGCCTCGTTCGTGGTTCCATGGTATGCGATTTGGTACTTCCGCACAGACCCGAGTGGGGGTATTATCGTGTTGGTCTTTGCTACCACAGCATTCATGAAGATTGTGTCGTTCTTCTTGGTTTGTGATCGCCTGAGGGCAGAGGCAAAGAGCAAGGACAAGAAGTTCAAGCCGAAGCTTCGTCAACTGCTCTACTTCATCGCCGCACCCACTCTCGTGTTTTCCCCAAGGTATCCTCGGACAGCTAAGATTCGATGGGGATGGGTGCTGAGAAGAATCTGGGAGTTCATCGGCATCTGGGCTGGCATCTACGTGGTTGCTCGTCAGTATGTGATGCCTGGGCTCATGAACACGTTGGTGCCTCTGGAGAACGGAAGTTTCTTCCTCATCGTCGAGGGGCTGCTCAAGATCGCTGTGCCAAACTTTCTAATCTGGATCCTGGGGTTCTACTCCATCTTCCACCTCTATCTCAACATTCTTGCGGAGCTGACTCGCTTCGGGTGAGCTACTTGTGGTCTTGGAGTTGATCCCCGTGATGAGTTTGCAGTGACCGTCAATTCTACAAGGACTGGTGGAACTCAACAACTTTGGGGTACAAAGTGACAGTGTTTCTTGTGTACATTTCAACTCATTCACTCCCACAGTTATTTCTGGAGAACTTGGAACCTCCCTGTACATAGCTGGATGGTCGAGCATGTCTACATGCCCTTGACCACTCGTGGATGGAGAAAATCGGTGATCGTCGCATCTTCCGTTGGAATCTCGCGTGTTAATTAACTCTTACTGATCTTCCAGCCTGCGTCCATCTTCATCTTCATAATCTCTGCGATTTTCCACGAGCTCATCGTCAGCATCCCGTTCTGGAACTTCAAGCTCCTTGCCTTCGGAGGAATGATGCTCCAGGTCCGCCTCCATCTCTTGCCCTCCATGCTCCCTCTTCCATACTCCACCTCTCGTGCTTGCTTACCGCCTCACCACCTCCTGCTCTCCTGGCCTCCGATCTCAGTGTCCTCAAACCTCTTCTCCCCGGACTTCCTCCTGATTGACTACAGGTGCCATTGATTGAGTTGACCAAATGCCTCAAGGGGAGTCAGACGGGTAACGTCATTTTCTGGTTGTCAATCATGTTGGGACAGGTCAGCATGGTCAATTTCAATTCGTTTTGTTCCTCACCCTCCTCTTCCAGCCGCTGATCGTCCTGCTGTACGCAAGAGACTACGCTCAAGGATTGTATGGCCCATGGACTGATGCTGACACGAAGACGGTTCGTCTGCTGCATTGCTTTCTACCAGCCTTGTCCTCCTATCGCAGAGGTCAAAGTTTTGTGGAGGTCCTGAATGGCTGTGTTGAAACAGGTTGGTAAGATTTTGAATGGATTCCAAGAAGCCATGGGTGAGAATATCACTTGCAGTTCCTTCCTCCCTATCTTTCTTTGTGCTCTCCTCTTGCTGCTCTTCCTGTTCACCTCTGTACTGTTATCCGCATCACTGACGTTGCTTCAGGATGGAGTTTAGCCGCCAACCTCACTGTCGTCGCTCCTCCCTCAATGCCTCCTTCTCCAACGGCTGTTCATTGGGTAAGGCCCTTCCTCAGGCACATGCTCGTCTTTAACACCCTGCCTTGTTGCAGAGATTTCTTGACAGATTTTACAAGTTCATGCACTGATAGTCGTCCAGAATTGATTTTCCCCACCGTTTTTCTTTTCTCCTTCTCCTCCTCCTCTTTCTCTGTTTTTACGAGCTTGTGTGTTCTGTAATTGTAACTCTTTGAATCATACCTCACTTGTCTCTTCCTCACTCTCTCCTTTCTCCCGCCATCGGCGCGCACATTTCGCCATCGCTCGTCGGCAAAGAAACAGTTTCGCCAATCAGTTTCATGATTTGAGTGTTCATTTGAAATTTAGATACCCATGAACCATGTAATTTCGATGTAGTTGGGAATCTTGCCATGTGAAGCATCATAAGAGGGGGTAGGGATAAGCATGACTAGGGCAATAAGACTTCGAGAATAGGGGTACTTTATTTCATACCAGGGGGTAGGGGTAGATATTTGTGGGGTTGGGGCTCATGTAGGGTGGATATTAGGCGGGGTGGGTATGGAAGAGGAGAGAGTCTTGTTCCCCATGAGACGATGGAGGAAGCGGAGGAGGGAGGGAAGAGAGGAGGAAGAGGTCGACGACGTCGAGAGGAGGAGAGGAGGAGCGGAGGAGCAGGTAGACTCTATGGGTAGATAGAACATGCGATCGAGATGAGGTGGTGAATGGGTTTGATTTGTTTGCGGGAGAGACACCTTATACGGTAGGTAGTACATCATGTCATGGCTGGTCTTGTGAGAAACAGAGCTCGACCGTAAACGGCACAAGGCTGACTTGTAGCTCATTGAGCCGCGTATATTTGAGCTGATTCACGCCTGGTTCTCATTCATTTTGTTAAAGTGGTTGGAAACAGAACATATAGGCGGCAATATCGACCAAAAGTTTATTGAGGGAGGATTCAGATAGAGTTTTCAAGTGAGAAGACGAAGGTTGTAATGTCCAGAAAGCTTTACCTACCCTCGTCTTGCCATCTAGAATGCATAATGCAACATCGTCTTGAGGATGATAGGAATGAGATTTTTGTTGCTCCAAAGTCGATGCCAACGACCTCGATCTAGCACATGTTAGCGACTATCGTAGCCCTTGATACGTCTATGTCGCTTATCATGGCTCTTGCCGCACCAGCACATGATGCCTGACTGACGGACAAGTGTTGCAGGGTCGCAAAGTAAACCGCGTCCTCGGGGAAAGGACAAAGAGATGAATGCGTTTTGAGGACAGCCTTGTCCTGCTGCCGTGGGATTGTTAATGGTTTCCTGCATCTGCAGAGGTGACAGCCAGCAGGCTGGTCGCGAGAGCGCCGGGTGACTGTCATGCAGACCGAAAGGGATATGAGTGCCAGCACGAGGAAGAGCTGTACGCGGTGTAAACACGTGAACTGTACGTGTAGGAGTGGACCCGGCGAGGCTGGCGATGTGACTGCATGCCACTCTCTGTCACTGCCCCCTGCGCCTGACGTGCTGGGTGTTGGTCAGACGGTCAAGGAGAGCTCGCAGGAGGAGGTGGTGAACCCAACGTTGAACGCTGCTGAAGAAGAGGTGAAGCCTTCTGGTGTCCTCATTGTGAATTTTCTCTGGACCTCTGTCCCTGTCCCTGTCCCTGTCCCTGTCCCTGTCCCTGTCCCTGTCTCTCTCGTCTCCCTCACTCGTTGCTCTGCTCCTTTTGCCCTCTATTCGGTCTATCTCTGGTCCACAAGCAGCTTTGCCAACCTTATTTTGCCTTCTGTTCGCTACTCCAATGATCACAAATAACTCAGTAATTGCAGGCAAGCCTTGAAGCACAGTTCCTTGAGCCAGAGGTTGAGATGAGGAGAGATTGGGCGTTATTGCTCATTATGTTGATATCAGCCTGGATCAGCTGAGACATCGTCGAAAATTGAAGCTGGTGACATCGATGCATGTGTGTCGTCAGAAGGATTTGACAAGTGGTGCAAAGAGGGAAAGATGAGCAAGATGAAGGAAAATCAGACCAATGGGGTCTCGAACAACGTCGAAACGGACAACAGCAGGAAAGATGATAAAGAGCTCAAGGTCCGAACGTCTCCCACTAACTTTTCCAGGGAGTGACAGATGCTGCTTTCCAGGTGGGACAGAATGTCCTTGCGTTGTGGAGAGTAGCGGAGAATGATTGGCGTGAAGTGACGATCTTGGAGAAGAATAAGTCAGGATCTTCGGTATGTTTCTAGCCATCATGTTTGCCACGTGCCGATGTGCTACTCTCATTTTGCTCGTGCAAGGGTTTCTTTGCCTTTCCGTCATGCTAATCATTGTCATTATCATGACTGCCACCATCAAATTTGCCCTAAATTCTCAATCTTGTCATCATCATCATCATCATCACCACCACCACCACCACCACCACCACCACCTTCACCATCGCCAGCACCAGCACCATCACCGTCATCATTGCCACCACCACCACCACCACCACCACCACCACCATCACTTTCGAGTTTGGTCATCTAGAGCGCATCTTTACACTAAGGCGGAATTTTTTGCAGTTTTATGTGCACTGGGTCGATTTCAACCGACGACTTGACTCTTGGATTGACAAGTTCGTCAACTTGCTGTTTTGTTCAAGCAGCTATTCCTGACAATTTTACCAGATCTCGGATTGATTTGGACACGACCAAGGAGAAATTGAAAGAAGTAAGCAGACGAGGATTCAAGGGGGTTGGATGTCGCTGAATGGTGGTCAGGTGCGGGATAGGAAA